GCTGTCCCTTTGCTGTGAGAGCAGGGCCACCAAGGTCCTGGCCAGCATTGCTGGGCTATTCGGTGCTTTGGGCTGAGCAGGCCACCTCATGGGCAGTGCAGCCAGCTGCCTCTTCACAGCCATGATGTCCTCGTGGGAAGAAGGGGCGGCCAGCAACCCGGCTGCATGGAACAGGCCCCACAACTGTGGGGAGAGCTAGGGAGGAGGCTAGCAGCCCGCCCTGCCCCGCCCCGCTTCCACCTTGCGCATTTGGTACCGGCTTTTGTGATACTTAGAGACCCTGGCATTTTTCTATATTATCCAGTGTGATGATCTTTTCAAGTTTTATAGAGCAAAGACAAAGCGGTTACTCTTCATATTGCAATATCTGTGTTTGACTAGGAATAATAGTATTTTTATGGAACATTTACAAGATTATATTTTTTAAAAAAATACAAAAAATAAACGTGGATTTAGGGCAAGAAGGGGAGGATGGATGGGGCAGTCCTGTGAGCCAGGGGGCTAAGGCATCTCACCAGGGTGTGCAGGGTGGGGAGCCCTGGGTCATCCCTGTGCGTCAGGCCTCCTGTGGGCTGTGAGAGTCTTTTTGACAGTAACCAGAAAGAATCCCAGCATCTTGGCCACTTGCTATGGCTGCTCCTGGCAGATGCAGCAGGCTGGGCCGAGGCCACATCATGCCTGGGGCCTGGCTTTCGCCAGCACTGTCACTTGCCAAAGCTGACCATGCCCTCCCTTAAGCAGGGCCTTCTCCCTGCAGTGGCAGAGCCTGGGGGCCCAGGCAGGGGCCTTCTTAGTAGTGGATGGGCCAGGAAACACTTGTCAGCACTCTTGTTCTGTTCATGGCATCAGTTATTGCTGTCTTTTACAAAAGTTTAAATAAAACGTTTCCAAGCATCTCCAGCAGCCTTGGCTGGCAGGTTTCAATTGTGCACCTGCGTGGAATCACCAGGCCGTCCTTTACGTCTGAGGTCTGCAGGTATCTACTATCTAGGTGGTATACACAGGGTGTGAGGCCCACCAGCAGCCCCAGTGTGTGTGCTCTTGGCCTCTGGAGGGTCGCATGGAGGCGTTTAGATGCAGTCCTGAGCCTCCCTCCCTAAAAGACTTCACCCTGTCCCTGGGTCCCTACCAGTCCTGTGTCTCATCTGCCTGCAGCTCAGGCTCCTGCATGGGTTTCTGGGTGTCCCAACCAGGGCCCTGGCTGCTGGTGGCTCTCTGGGGGGCTGCATCAGGGCCAACTTCCGAGGGCCTTTCCTAAGGCAGTGGTTAGTGTGGGTGGGCCGCTGTTACTGCCTCCTCACCCCTCCAATCCCTGCGTGTTTCCAAAGGCAGGTGTCTGTTCTGAATAACTCATTCCAAAGGCCAGGCGTGGTGGCTCACGCCTATAATCCTGGCACTTTGGGAGGCCAAGGTGGGTGGATTGCCTAAGCTCAGAGGTTTGAGACCAGACTGAGCAAGAGTGAGACCCTGTCTCTAAAAAAAAGAGCTGGGCATTGTGGCTGGCGCCTACAGTCCCAGCTACTCAGGAGGCTGAGGCAAGAGAATCACTTAAGCCCAAGAGTTTGAGGTTGCTGCAAGCTATGACACCACAGCACTCCACCGAGGGTGACAAAGTCTCAAAAAAATAAACTCACTCTAAGGGTACGGGTCTCCTGAGCTCTAGGGCCATGGCATGGGCAGGCAAGAAGGAGTCTCCACCAACTGTGACTCCAGGAGAGGTTAGTTATATGTGCCAACATTTATCCCTTTGAGAAACAGAGTCCACTTTGGACGACTTTGTGGAGGTCCATTGGAGTCCCCACTTCCCCTAGAACTGACTCACTGACGACGCCATGTCTGGGAAGCCCCCACAGGCAGTGCTGGGTTCTGGGGAGCACCAGAGCTGCCCACCAGCCTGACCCTCCCTGTGGCCTTCCAGCTGACAGTTCTCCCACAGGGTGGGTCCTGATGTCTGTGCTGCACCTGGACATCAGCCAGGCCTGCTTACTCTCCTTGGGCAACCGCAGCCACCCGTGGGAGCAGCCAGGACCTCTCTTCAGGCCTGGGCCTGCTCGTTGTCTAGCTATGGGTGACACAGGGAGCTGTCACAGGGTATGACCCTTGCTGCCCAAGCAGCCCTGCCTCGGCAAGTCCTGAACTCAGCAGCACCCCTTAGGAACAGCACCTGAGCTCTCATCTGTGGAAGCCAAAGTGTGTGTGAGTCATTGAGGCTCTAGCTGCATCAGGGCCCAGGCACCCACCTTGCCCCAGCAGATTGGAGAGGAGCCTATGGTCAGCTCCAGCCATAGCCACCCTTGATACTAAACGTCTGAAACCCATATTCCCAATGGGCTTGTCCCAGTGATAGCAGGTGGCCCCAACCCTCATGTGGTTGCTCTCCTTGCCATCTTAGACCTGCCCTGAGTCCACACAGTTGCTGGGGACAGAAGGGCTGCTGGCTCCTGGCCAGATACGGGTGGCTCGGATGTGGACCCACTGCTCCAAGTTGGGAGTTCCAGAAACCTGGGTCTCCCTCCCACCCTGAGTACATGAGGGTTGGACATGCAGCTGCCTTGTCTCAGGGAGCCAACGTGCCCTGTGGGGCCCAGGGCCAGTCAGAGGCCATGACTCACAACAACACACTGAGTTTCATGTTATGCAACAAGCCTGAGAAGCCTGAACCCCACTTCTTAGAAAGCACCTCCAGGTCACCAGGTCCCTGGCACTCCTCCATTAGGAAAGGGTCAGGCAGCCTGCTTGCTTCAAGGCAGATGCCCAGAAAATGGAGGCTTCCACCCAGGCTGAGCTCTCTCTCAGGAGAGAGCTGTAAATCTTAACCTTGGGCTTCAGGAGTTGGGGAGCAGCTCTGAGAACTCCGCAGTGCCAGAGGGGTGTGGTTTCCCCCTTGCCCACCCAGTTTTCTGGAACTGCAGGCATGCACAGGGGGGCTGCTTCCAACACGGGGGCTTCCACTGCAGCTGGACCCTGCAGGGCCCCCACCCATTTGGGATGATACCTTAGCATTCACCTAATGCCTGGTTATAGGCACCAGAGGCCCCAGGGAAATAGGCAGAAGGTGCTGTGCCCCTTCATGGATGAAGAAAGAGTCTGAGAATCTGCCCCCAGCCCCAGCTAACAATAAGCTAGCAGGGTGGGGGGTCGGCTGCAGGCCCAGCTGACTCGTATTTGGAAACACCTGGGAAACCCCAAGGCAGCCACAGGGAACCCAGAACACCTCTCAGGACTTGAGGCATAAAACACCTGGGAGACCCGGCCCATCAAGAGATGATGTGGAAAAGATGGCTGTCCCCTGAGTTGTTGCCACTGCAACATTTTCTAACTCTCTCTTAGGTGCCAGGACCTGCCCCCTGTGCCCCTCTGTCCCCTCTCTAAACACACTGGGGGAAAGGGGCTTGAACTCACTCACAAGGCACCATGAAGGCCACAGGTATTTAACACGAATAACCTGGGGATGGAGGTCTCTAACAGCGGGCTCACAGAAGCAGTTGGGGAGGGTATGTTTTGCAGGCTGAGAGGGGACTCCAGGTGGCACCTGCTTGCCTGGGAGGGACTGGGCAGCTCCTACTCAGCCAGGCAGCAGAGGGGTGACTCCAGGCACAAGTGTGGGGTTGGATTTCCCAACAGCTCTGGGGGTCACATAATGCTCTGTGGGCAGCCATGGGGGTAAGCAGGTGTGTGGCTGCAGGGGAACTGCCTGGTAGTGTGAGGAGGGCTCCTGGACACAGGACAGGCACCAGTAGTCTCACCACCTCTGTGGCCTGCTGGAGCCACCACCTGCCACCAGAGCTGCAAAGGCTGCCTGTGAGTTTGGCCCACTGTTTGACCTAGCCCAGGGACAGAGACGTCCTACTGGGCGTGGTGGTCACCCATGACCAGCTGTTGCTGGCTGCTCAGGATGTGAACACATTTAACCACCCCTGGCCCAATGCTAAGAAGCCCATGACCAGAGCACTTGTTCTGGGTCCTCTGTGTTTCCAGGCAGGTCTCAGGCTCCTTGGAGCAAAGCCACAGTGGGCATACCTCCCTCCCTCCAGCTGCTGAGGGCTGGTCTCTGTGCCCCTCTCGGCTGGATGGGAAGAAGCCCCATGTGCTCAGAGCACAGCAGAGGTGTTTGGTGGGGCCGCCCTTCCCTGTGACTACACTGTGCAGTCCCTGTGTTGGTCTCCCCAACAGCCTTCTGAGAATCAGGCATCAGCTCTGCCATGGGAAAGATAAAAAGCCCCTGGACAGCCAGGCACAGTGGCTCACTCCTGTAATCCCAGCACTTGGTAGGCTGAGGCTGGTCGATTGCCTGAGCTCACAGGTTCGAGACCAGCCTGAGCAAGAGTGAGACCTTGTCTCTAAAAAATAGCCGGGTGTTGTGGTGGGTGCCTGTAGTCCCAGCTACTTACGAGGCTGAGGCAAGAGAATGGCTTGAGTCCAAGAGTTTGAGGATGCTGTGAGCTATGATGCCACGGTACTCTACCCAGGGCGACAAAGTGAGACTGTCTCAAAAAAAAGCCTCTGGACCATCTCAAAGAGTGGTGTGCAAAGCTGGCCTGGCCAGTGGCTGAGGCCCTGCAGGGAGGTACTGGGGCCTCAGGGGCCCCTTTCCCAGTGCACCAGGCTCCACGTCACATTACAACAGCACCTGTGACTTCCCACAGTCACACACAGATGTGCACGCAGATGCACATGGCCACCTACACGGGTGTGTTCACACAGCGCCTTGCTGCTCAGCCTGGACCACACGGACCCCTCCTCAGCATCCAGCTTCACTTTCTCAGGTGTGTCCTGAGTCAGCTGCTCTTTGTCCCTTTCATGTGTAAGACACGTGCTGTGTATGAAGGGACTTGCCGCAGGAAGGACATGGCAAAGGAGAAAACCCTAAAATCTAACACCTGAGGGCCGGTGCCTGTGGCTCAAAGGAGTAGGGCGCTAGCCCCATTTGCCCGAGGTGGCGGGTTCAAAACCAGCCCCGGCCAAAAAAAAAAAAAAACCCAACACCCAAGGCAAGCCAGTGGCCAGCAGTGAGAACTTGGCAGCATCTCCTTTCTCCTCCCACCCTTCCCTATCTCCCCTGCCTCCCCTCTCCCTTCCCCCTCCTTCCCCTCCTGCTCTCCCCCACCTTCTTTTCACTTCTGCCTGGTGTGATCTGGGACAGAGAATGCCCTCCTGATTCACAGCACCTTCCCTGTTTAGGACCTAAGAGTAATGAGTCTTTAAAGCCGCTTCCCACTGTGGTGGTATATGGAACTTGCACCTTCCCTGAAGGGCCAGAGGCTGCCCAGGCTGGGTTTCCCTAGGGACGCTGCAGGGGCACACTTCAGGCTCTCAGTGCCAGGGGGCTGGTCAGGCAGGCATCACCTGGACACAGGGCTCTCAGGGCAAGCCGTGTCCACCTCTCAGGACCACCACATCACACAGCTATATCCACTAAACCCAGCTTCAGAACCACTATCACCTCTATCATCAAGACCCCAAACCACCAGCAGTAATGAGCTCCCTTCACTGAGGGCAACCAGGCCTGGCAGGATGTTGGATTTTTGAGCATCAGCGTTAACTTTCCAAGAGCCTGTGACCTGATAGCCATGGGACTGCCCCAAGTTGGGGTGTCCCAGCCACATCTACCTTTCCGCAATGAGCTGCCAGCCTCTGCCCCAGCATGAGGGTCCGTCTGCCCAAGTTCCCCCACAGCCAAGACCCAGCTATCCAGCTCACCTGTGGGTCCTTGTGCCTTCAGCCATGTGTCTCCAGTCCAGAGAGACAGGGCCTAAGTGCCCCTGGGCATGGGGCAGATGCTCTGGGATGTCTGTGCTGCTCAGGGGCTCTGGAGTCTTTTCCATCTCGCTCAGCAAGTGCTGCTGGACCCCCTATGGGCCTGAGCATAGGCAGGCATGTTGCAGATATAACATGGCCATACTGGGCCTAGCTCAGGGGCTGCAGTCTAGCTGAAAGTGAGGGTTTCAAGGTTTTGGTCATAAAATCCTATTAGCAAAAAAATAAGCATTCAATGATGACACAGATGTACACATATCTACATACATGTGTACAGACTTCCAATATACCATTCATTATAAAGCACACCAAGAAAGTTCAGAAACATGCACATAAAAATGATAAAAATATTAATATAAATGGAATTGTGACAGCTTCTTCCCTAATCCTGTGAGCTGCGCTGAAGTTCGTGGGGTACACACCCCATTTGAAAACCACACTTTGGGCATCCGATGCTGTCCAACGGAAGAGGCTAAGGCTACCTGGTCCACTGCAGGTTGTCATGCCCAAGGTCCTAAATGTCAAAGAAAGCAAGCATCCCCCTTGGTGACCTGCAGGTCCTGCTCTGGTTCCAGGGGGCCTGGGGAGTGTGTTTCTCACCACAGGGGGCCGTGCAGGTTTAAGCCCCAGAGCGGAATGGAGCATACTGAGAACAGAGGATACAGCAGATGGACACCGCCGCCTCCCTCCTGGGGGCTGCACCTGTGGGAACAGGGCAGAAGCTGAGGTTTTCCTCTGTGGATCCTCCTTGGGTCTAGCCTAGATACAGCCTTCAGTCACAGCTGAAAAGTGGGTCTGTGCAGCCACAACGACAATTCTGGGAAGTTGGCAGGGACCTCATTCCCTTCCAGGGATTATTTGCAACAGCCCTAGGAGATGAACATCCTGCCCTTGCCCCAGAGGTGCTGGCAGGCCCCTCGCTCTCCCAGTGCTCTCAGGTGATATCAGCAGTTCTCCACAGGAGAGCTAGAGTGTCCAGAATCAAAATAACATGAGCCTCTAGCTGGGATTAGGAGATCAACCTGCCAGGGCATGGCTGGTGGCCACACTATGGGTGGGTGGAAGGCTGGCTCAGGGATCTGTGTTATCTGTGTCTGGGAGCTGGGAGAAGGAAGAGAAGCTATAAATAGAAATCTCGCCAGGCCAGGAACAGGTGAATGAGCAGAAGGCAGGCCTGTGTCCTCTGATATCCACGTGCTCTGCAGGGTGGTGCCAGGCCACGGCCACCAAACAGACGTGCACCTCCCTCCATGGGTACCCCCAACTGTCCTTCCACAGCTCCTTACCAAGCGAGAGATAGGCACACACACAGCACGTCTAACCGGCTGGAAGTGTGGGTCGGACCCATCCCACAGCTTCCTGATGCCTCAGAGCCTTGGTTTCCTCATCTGTAAAATGAGGATACTCATCCCATAAGGGGTGCTGGTGCAGCAGGGCCCCCCTGCTGTCGCTCCACTTCCCCACTCAGCCCACAGAAGGCAAAGAGCACCAGGTTCTCAGGTCAAAGCACTCTGGTGAGGCAGGCCCCTGACATGGCCACAGACATGGCCACAGACACGCCCAGTGGCTGTGGGGGAGGGGACTGGCTGGCACTGTGCCCATCTGCCCAGACGTGGCCCCACCTGACCCTAGAGTTGTGAAATGCCTGCATCAGATGAGACTCAGACACCAGACACCACTGCCCCCAGTTCTTCTAGGATGGAGGGTTCTAAAGGACAAGAAATGAGGGGAGCGGCCTGCCAGGACAGGGGCACAGGTGCTGCCCTTTCACCCCTTAGCAAACTCCATAACCACGGCTCAAGCCCTGGGAATCCAGAATTGAGCCAGAATTCTGTGCATCTAGAATTTCAGGCTGTGCCCTTTGTCCCAACCAAACGAATTTTTGGGGGAGGCACAGGGCAAACTCCTACAACATTGTCTGCTGAGAGGGAGCTCGCCGGGCTTCACCCTGTCTAGGAAGGGCCATTCCTTCTCAGGCATGGGTCCCTGGCCTGGTCCAGGGCACTGACCCCAGGGTCGCCACCACAGCTGGCCAGTGGGTCAGCTTTGGACTTTCAGGGCTTGGGCTCATTAATCCTACAACGTGGTTTGCAGAGGAGGTGGGGAGGAAAGGTCTCGGAATGGTGTAATCCGCCTGGGTGAGGGTTCTCGAGGTCTGGCTCCGCGACACGCCCACATTGCGTGGACTGGAGTCCAGTTCAGTTTCCATTCAACGCTGAACTCTGCCCTTTAATCCACGAGTGGGTGGCCAGGCCCAAGGGATCAGTGTGTGATTCGGCGACGCGCGCGCCAAGGAAGTCCCGTGGGGAGGACACCGGCAGCCACGCGCTCGCCGCCCTGCCCCGCCCCGCCCCGCCCGCGCACCTGTCCAGGGCGTGACGCCTTGGCCCCGCCCTGCCCGTAGGCCCCTCCCAACCCGTGCGGGACGCTGGTTGGCGGAGGTGGAGCGCTATGCTAATGAGCCTGACCCTTCCCGCACCTGCCCAGCCTCACGCTGCCCGCGGGCGCCGGCGGACCCTGCAGTCGGACTGTGTTCGCCCGCCAGGACCCGCCGCTCCGGAGGGGACCATGCCGCGCTCCTTCCTGGTGAAAACGCACTCCAGCCACAGAGTCCCCAACTACAGGCAACTAGAGACGCAGAAAGGTAGGGGCTGCCCGGCTCTCCAGCCCCTCTGCAAGGCGGGAGGGAGGAGGAAGCCTCTGGGAGCGGGAGGACAGGTGGAAGAAGTAGCCAGCTCCCCAGTACAGCTGGGGCCCAGACCTGAGGCTGGAGCGGGAGGAAGGTGGCCCACTAGCGCTTCCGATAGAGGACGGATCCTCTCCCCACTTAGAGAAGTTTTCTAGGCCCTAATGACCACAGCCCATCCTCTCCACTACTGCCCCAGTTCCTGGAGCAGGAGGCTTGAGGGGGTGGCCATGTGGGCCTGCTGGCAGAGAGCACAGGGGAGGTGAGAGAGCTGACCCTGGGCACTCTCTGGCCCTCTCTGGATGGTTCAGCTGGCCTCCAACGCCTTTGCCCCTCCCCTCCCCCCAGAAACCCTCTTGCCCATCCCAGCAAGCTTGCCAGGGCAGTCTGGGCTAAAGGGCTGCTATCCTCCTCCACATGCAGGCCCAATGGGAAGATGGGCATCCAGTGACCAGGGCTGCCCGCTCAATTCTGCTGCCTGTGGCACTGAGGGCAGAAGAATGTGCCCCTTAGAGGACAGCCTGCCCC